TAACCAGACCAAGCCTTTGACTCCTCAATCATCTGCCATGAATGTAAATCTACCTGGCAACGAAGATGCCAGCGCATCTACTGCAGCTACTACCAACGGGACGCCTGCTCAGGAGAACAAGCCGGTAGAAGCACCTAAGCCTGCCCCTTCGCCAGTGGCCGAAAAGAAACCAGCGACAGCTCTGTACATCTTGAATGCCGAGACGGAAGAGCAGATCCGAGATTTGTTCCCTGAGGAAGACAAGTCAAAGGTCAAATCGATTGTAAAATTCGGCAAGACCACTGCGTTTGTTGTGAATTTTGAAAATCATGAAGAGTGCAAGGCTGCTTTCGAAAGACAACCATCGGAGAGAAAGAATCGGAGTAAAGACCCCAAGATGGTCAATATCCGATACTTCGAGGACCGTCCTGGGAACAGAGGTTTTCATCACCGTGAGAGTCAAGGAGGCGCAGGCACATGGCAAGGAAGCAACCGTGGAGGAGCAAACACCAATACTCGCGGTGGCTACCAGAGTGGAGGAGCGAGTGATAGTGATGGAGGACGGGGCGGTCGAGGCGCGTACCGTGCTCGTGGTGGCCGAGGTAGAGGAAACGATGATCGAGGTGGTAGAGGCGGGCGTGGAGGTGGACGGGGTGGGTTCGCAAACCAGAATCAAAACAAGAACACCGATGGGGCTTCTGATTCAAAACCTGCCGCCGACAAGCCAGCTGCGTCTGGGGGCGAACCCTGAATGCGCGGCTGCGCAGTCGACCACTTGCGTGGTGGGGAGTGTGTACTTTTGGGATCGGGGATGAGGGCAGTGCTCTGGTTCTGCGTCGGTGGCCGGACAGCAAAGGACTTCTAGAGTTGTGTTTGCAGCTTGGCTACCTGGATCGTGCATTTCCACGGTAAGGTTGTTGCTTATTCACACTACTAGGTTTCCCTGTACTTTTCACACACATGCGGAAAGGTTGGTATGGAGAAATGGCTGGTAGAGAGACGTCTGTTTCTCTGTGTATTCTACTTGAGCTTTGCAGAAACTGTCAAAAAAAAAGGCAGCAAACCTTCGAAAATCATAGTACAGGTGTTCCAACGGCTTTGCTTGTAAACCTCTACCGTAACCCAGGATAGAAAGCATTCCCCTAAGACCCATGATGAGACCCTGATGAAGTGTTGAGTGCCGAGTATAGGAAAGGATGTACTATTAGCTGGAAGCACCAAGTCTCAATAAAGCCTGTGCAAGATTTTGCTTCGATTCCTTTAGCAGACGTTGACTGTGAGATTGACAAATGAAGGCCCATCCTGAAAATGCGATGATAAAGAGCCTGGTTCCACATTTCGAAGTGCAATCACGACCCCTCCTGTGTTCAGCCTGTTAGATATACCCTGCCTAAAGAAACGTCCGATGGGTCCTTACTGGTCCCTAAAATAGCGATGGATTCTGATAATGCAGACACATAGTGGTTTCTCGAGGACTCCACAGGAGAGGCATACAATGCGCCAGGATTGATGACGACCTACTCTTTAATGTCCTCCCTTCCCAACCTCCTACACCCTCTATCACACCACCCCTCCTCCCACCGACTACCTCAACTTTCGCACTATGTCACCGGCATGACCCCACCACCGCCGGCAGCTATCCCTGCGCTCTAAGCTCCTCCGTGCTCCTCCGCCTGCCGAGCGAGCATCCTCCTTATCTGACCCATCACCTCATCCCGCCTTCCTCTCCACCTCCCAATGCACCTGGCCTACCAGTGGCAATGAATGGCCCGTTTGGTTGGCGACGGACACCTTGTCCTCCAGCTCACCGACATGTGTGTACATTCCAGATGACCAACGCAAAGGTCTTGGCACGGCAGTGCTGCACGCGATGACGGATTGGATCGATCGGTATGCAAAGGACGCATATTTAAGTTTGATCGCATACCGTGGCCAGGCTGAGGGACCGGAGGACTGGATCGAGCGGCTGAATTATGGGGGATGGAAGGAGTGGGCATGAAGAGGAGTACTTGGGGGAGATAGATGGATGACTTTGGTTATAGAAGCGTGTACAGAACAGGTTTGGCTGGGAACACCGGCTCACTTCGACCATTTCTGCTCTATCAGGCCTTGGAAGTCCGATACATTCTTGTGAGGCTGAGATGGTACGTGACGCTCTGGACGTTTTGCTGTCTATCAAATCTATTACCGATTGGCAGAAGACAAACTTCGTGGCAAGGTTGTACTCGGCAAAGACGTAAGCCTAGAATTTTCTGTTCCAATTGGCCACGGAGCTGCAAGCTTATCAGGCGCTAAGCTCCTCGCGAACATTCAAAGGATGGAGAGCATCAGATGCAGCCTTGGGGGTGGGGTGGGTTGATTGGTTGTGTGAGAGTGATCAACCAAAACTTTGCACAAATCATCGATGTGGTGTGTTGCACGAACTTTTGAATGCTCTAACTATTTAACTGTAATAGTGTGTAGCATAATCGAGAGAGGTCTGACTAAGACGTCCTTGCAAGTTAGTAATATAACATCGCTTCAGCCGTTTAGAGCTGCTAGAGCTGCTCATGCTGCTGCATGTTCAAAGTACCTCGACGCAATATCCAAATGTCACACCAGTCTGATAGCCACGAGGTGACACATCTAACTTCTGATGACCAGAACGCTTCGAATGTCGAACATCCCTTACAAAGCGAGGGGAGAGACGAAGCTGCACAAGGGTCATTGCCGGTTTCCAGAGAATCAGCGGACGACCAAGATGCCGATAGAGAGACCGAGCCACAACCGTTAGACTCCTGGGCATGGATGTATGACGTCGATTCAGGTCAGCTAGCCGCGAAGGCCAGTCACTCTTTTTGATCAGAATTCTGGCTTACACAACCTACATCCTACAGAAGAATGTTTCATGGAATATGATGCTGAAGCAGCAGCCAAATCATCTGATTTTGGAAATGATGGCTACACCGCCTCGCTCACCAATTGGCATGAACTACTACAGCTGACTGCCCCAGAGCCAAAATGTGGTTTGATCTACATACGTGGAGATTTCCCTGATACTTCAGATGCTATACTAGCTAGAGTTCAAAATCAGGATTTAGCTGGTGGAAAGGGCACCTTTGGTATTCAATTATTGCATGGCCCAGGTGATGAGTTTCAACTTGGGGAAGTTGCTGCCAATGGTTTTATCAATTATCGATGGCCTTACACACAGTATTGGTTATATAGCGAGACATTCAACCCTGGAACTTTCGAAACATGCTCTTTTGTCGATAATAAGATTGTTTACCAAATTGCACGCGTGCGACTGGGAAGAAAGAAGAGCACCGGAAGGCCTGCTGCCAATGCTGATGCAACAGCAGTACCGAAACTTACTGCTCGCTTCAGAATTGGAGGGAGGATCCGTTTTGGTTGCCTTTGCACTAACGCTCTAGGATCGGTACCGAAATATTGTTACAACGTTCAGCGTGAAGAAGATGACAAGACTCTGAGATGCCAAGTCTCAGGAGAATTTACCTGCGAGACGCAACAACGTTGTCAATACCATTTGAGCATGCGACTTTATATTGATGGTCAGAGTACAGTCATAAAATGGAACGCCAATGCCAAATCTTACAGGAGTGCCGATACCAATAATGATGGAGTGCCGGCAAATAGACAGGATCCCGGGACTGGCAATCTCTCCCCATCTGAATGGGTTGACATTTCTGCTGAGCATGATATTGAACTAGAGGCAAATAAAGAACGGGTCCTGATTTTTGCCCTTGCTCTTGATAGCGGAGCAGCTCCTAGAATTCCAGAGGGCCCGCCGTCTTCAGAGAATATTAAGGGGATACTTGGGGTCACTGATGCTTATGCTAATCGCACAAGCCGAATGTGGTTGGCTAGAGGACAAAAGGAGCACGAGCAAGTCGATGTGGCTGATACGCATGCCATCGCCCGATGTGTTGAGTATATATGCTCTGTCACAGCTATGCCTATTCGATGTGAGAATCATGAGCCGCCGGCAAGCAGCCGACAGGGATCCACCCATACAGGACGTGAGCCTCTTTCAGGGTCTAAAACCGGCAAATCCAAAGAGCTCCCTATTGGAAAGTCAACACCACCACCAGCAGAGCTTCCAGCGTACCAGTCACCTGTTTCTCCTGATTGTGAACCTCCGAAGAGTGATTTAGAATCCGTGAGAATTCTTACAACTAGTCTCTTGAGCCAAGATAGCAGGACCGGTCAATGCATCTCGCCTCAGCAGTCTAGTGCACACCAATTAGAAGATGGACAAAATTCGCCACTGCATGTTCCACTTCCAGCTTCAATAAAGTCTACTTCAAGCCTGAACGATGTTCTGCTTGGCGGAGACGAGCCTCGCGATGCTGAAGATATCAACTTAGGTTTAGAAAAGGATGGTTCCGACGAGCTCCAGGCCATTACACTTATTCGGAATATGATGTTCGATTTCTCGGTGAATCTTGAAAGCACCTTGTGAGTGACATCTTTACTTGGGGCGCATACTTTTGTCCCTGATGACTAATCTTTCACAGTTGGCAACTTCGTTTGCTAATTAAAGCAGACAAATTCCTGAGCCAGCGATATAAGGAAAACGTCTCGACGGAGAATGTAGGAGTAAACGAGGAACAAGAGGATGGTGCTGATGAACGAAGTATAGCCACATACCAGAAGTATAGATCAAGGTTACAGACCGTCATCAAGGGAGTCCTAGTATGGATGGCAAAAATCCCGTGGGGAACTCGACCCTCAATGAGACATAGTAGGTATTCGGATAAAGAAGACCCGTACAGCAGTATCCGCCCCATTTCACATCATTACGATCAGCTCTTCAGAGTCTATCCACCGCTTTGGCTACTAACTACTCCCCCTCCTGATCGGCCTCCCTGGGCCTCGCATTGGCAAGCTGCCTGCTTTGTTTCAATTACCATTTGGTATGTTTTGAACAACTGCCCTGAAATTACCGAAAAAATTCTAGCTATCTCTTCGCTATGGGAGAATATTACGGATCTCCCAGTAGGAGAGTTACAACCTGAAGCGGAACCAAAATCAGCACTACTCCAGTGGTACCACGCGACTTGTGTCTACAATTTAAGCAAAATGCTTCCGCGCAAATCATCCTCAGGCCATGATGGGATGAGCGCATACATCAAGAACCTTGAGCAGATGTGTCTTCGACTTACACGACCAGCCAAGAAACCAACTATCGATCTATACACAATTAAGGATGAGCAGCTCGACCGTCTTCTCCTTATTTGTAACGAAGTGATCCAGGAGCCTACATTTGCAAACACCAGGTTTGACTGCATGACCAATGTTCGCGCCAAAATTGAACGTCGTACCCCTACCACAATCATCAACCCAGGGTTTACAGGACGAAAATCGAACTTGTCTGAAGAGCCACCGTGGGAGCTCTCTTGTTTGAACCATCATACCGCTTTCAGGATAGCCCTGGAGTTTGTCGACTTCACGGAAGTCGATGACTTTAAGCAAGCGTGTTATGACTTCCGATCAACAGAATTTACCTTCCATCCGACATGGGATAGAAGCCAAAAACATATGTCAAGGCAATGGTGGGATGTTGACGCCTCCGCCATTGTTTGTGCTACCCTTATTCATCCTCATATCCAAAAAGCTAGTAAGACGAAGCACCTTGGAGTAGCTATTTAATGCCACAGCTGATGACTACAGACAAGCAAAGAGATATGCAAGCTTCCACGAAACCGGTCACGGTAAATCTATCAACACAAAGTAATATCGCACCATTCGATTGGAGAAAGAACGTGACCCCCAAAGTTTTCGGAGATGATTGGGTTCAATCACTCGAAGACACCCCGGACAGATTTCGAAGCTCACAGACTAAGGACACCAATCTTCGACATGGGCTACGCACATATCTAGAGGGCGCTGGAAGCTCCAACAACTCTAACAAAAAGCATCCGGATTACTCTCGTGAAAGTATTGATCAATTGGTTCCCGCGGACGACTTATTATACTTGAGTCTCTTCGATCTTGGCTTGGACAAGGTTGGAGACCTTGACCTCGAATACTCTTGGAGGCGCTCTTATTTGGACGAGTTCAAAGAAAAATTCTTCAGCGATATCGATCAAATCCAGGATCCTGCCGGTATAATCGCCGAAAGGCTGTGGGTTTGGGTACTGGATGGCTCTCCCTGGGAAAGCTTTCGCAATCCTAAAGATGTGAAAGAGGAACTGAAGACCAAGTTGAAGCTGCGAACTTTCAGACAGGATCTATTCAAGGCCCATCAGCATGAAGGCTTACGACGGCTTAGCGATAGTGTAAGGATGACAAAACCCAGAGCCTTTCATCGAGGCGGCGATAATTACTGACCTTGTTATAGATGGTTGATCTTGGAGTCAAGCACCGAATACTGTAAGAAAATGTTTCTGTCAATCAGCTAACGTGCAATTCACTAAGCGTGTGGTTTACTAGATTAGCACAGCGCTTGTGCCCTTCAATAGTCCAGGCGATCATCTACATGTGGCACCCCACGGCCATAGACACCTTTGATAGCTACTTCGGCTCACTAAGCACTTTTAGTAATGTACGAGAAGATGAATCCTGGATAACTACAATTACCCTGGTCTACTGGGCATTTGTGCCTCGATCGGATGTGCTCGAGCCTAACCCGCCGTCACGTCCGGAGAATAGATACACGGAACCTCGACAGCGTGGCAAATTCCCGCCTTCGAACATGCTGCAGCAATTTCAGAATGAGAGGGACATGAGAGGTGATGAAAATATTCAAAACACCATAGAAGAGAGGTCGTCCTCTCTCGTTATAACAGGTGACCCTCAGGGATTTTTGTGGACATGCTCTGTATGGTCGTCTTTGATCGAGGATTCAGACCTGAACGTGTCTACCATGGTCCAGGATTTGCAGCTATTCAAGCACCAGCAATCAACTGGTAGAAGCCTTGCTTTTCTTTCGATACTAGGTACTATGTGTGAGAAGCTTTCGGCCGAGCTTGACTTGACATTGAAGGGGTGTGATGAATATGTAAAGCTTGGTGTGAGTCGATCTATCTTCGTAACGGAAGGGCAACAGATCACACTGACTTTCTATCTGTTAGCAAAAAGTTTTCCTTGAGGGTTATGACTGGGAGGCCGATAATGCAGTGGACAGGCTGAGAAGCATGCTCTGGGGACTCGAAGCACTCAAAATGTTCGACGATAGACTCGATGATTCTTTGAAAAGCATCGACAAAGCACGTGAAACGCTTGTACATCAGATGGACAACGTGGGTCTCCAGCGAAGCTTCAATTTTACCACTACGACTAACATATCATCAAGGAGCGTGGGGAACGCCACGGCGAGCTGAAGAGAACTTATAAAGACGCGTTAGAAAAGTTTGGAAAACAGCGTGACTTTCTGTTCGCTGTCCACGCCAAAATTGATCTCAAGATCAAGCAAGTGACTGGCTTACGTGACGGGGTATGTACTGAGTGCTCTTCCAGTTCCCCCAGCCAGCCTCAAGACTGAGTCTTCAACCACTAGCTCTCAACCGTCACCAGTGTTGCGGATAGCCGCACTGCCGTCAAACAGGGAAACAACATCCGAATACTGACATATATCACCATTGCATATCTCCCTCTGAGCTTTGTTGCGGTAAGACAGGTTCTTATACTCCTTCAGTACTCTCTAGTCTAAGACTCGCCAGCTGACACACGACAGTCCATCTTCTCAATGGGTCACAACATCGTGCCCGACGAGGCAGGCACTACCCTCTTCGCCATCCTCATCGTGGTCGCCGTCCTGACAACATACTGCCTCGCATCGAGCCTAGAGAGAGTCATCAAGTTGCAAGATATTCTAAAGAACCGCTGGGAAGGGGGGTATGACCTCGTGAAACGATGGAAGGTGCAACAGCCGAAAGGACCCCAGACCTCGACGAAGCCGATGCATCGGAACGGAAACCCAGAGGAAGGAGGTGAGATTAAAAACGTCAATAACGCAAACAGCAGCTCCGTTCATTCTGGGGAAAACACACCACCAAAACACCGGTTGTTTCGAGGATTCAGATGGCGCGCACGCTCTGGAAGTGGTATCGCTCAACTCAGACACCTTGGGAAGTCCGAGATTGTGTAATGCTTGTGGAACAGTCTCATCCCGCATACCCGGTCGTCTACCTAAGTCGTGATGCAAGAGTTTCCAGTGGCCTGCATATCTATGTCAGGGTGAATACTGATCAGCTGTCATCAATTAATAAGTCTCAGCCGGGAAAGACGCCGCCTACTTGAAGAGATAGCGGTTACGGAGTACGGAGGAGACATTGGGCTTTGGACTGGATTCAGAGATGGATTTTCAACGTCCAGGGAAGGGGTGCTGGCTCAGATCCACTCGTCAAAAGTGTTTGCCAGCCTGCAGCCCGGGGTTACTTTTAAAAGCAATGTGTGCGAGTATCAATGTCAGGTCCAATCCACACTCATTAGCAGGTAACTTTCATTCGTAGAAGTCTAATGTGTTCTTATAAGACCAAGATAGTAAGTGACGTGTTAGACAAATCTATTACTAATTATCAGAAGATAAAGATCATGATACAATAGTACTTGGCAAAGACGCAAGTCTAGAATTTCCTATTCTAGTTATTCATGAGGACCGATCTTATTGAACCTTTACTATGATGTCTTCCACTGACATTGATAGTTGATGCAGTCACTAAGAGCATGTGGTACAATGTATCGTCCAAAGCTCTCGCAATGCTCTGTTCCTGTGATCACCACCTAAAAGCCGGGCTGTTTGACTCGACAATATATTTATGCTCTTGCAACATTCTTATTGTTGGCTACCTTGTTGACCACTATTGCCTTAACAGGAGCTTGTGTTCTGTACACACTAATTATACCACCGGTTGTGCTTGGTATGTGGTCCATGATGTTGAGGGCCACAGCGATTGTTTGTCCCTGCTTGCTAGCAAGGTTTCGCGATCTTAGCACTTCACCAAGCTTCTTTCAGGCAGTTGTCCGATAAGGAAGGCTCCTATTGCGCTTCATCAAGTCCTTCCACTCAAATCGTTCACGATATGGCAATCCCGTTCCAAGCAATCCCGCTACTTTCCCGCTCCCTTTTTGGGCTGTCTGGATGAGACTGGGACTCTTCTCCGCTTTTTTGCTTGAAGACGTGGAAAGCAACTTTACCACAGGTCTGAAGCAGTGAAGATGATGTGTGCCTGATGCAGATTCAGTCGACCCTGTCGCGAGTGTTGTCATCAAATTGCATCCTCACTATCAGGTAAGAATGCGTCCAGCAGAAAACAGCGGCTGTGGGTGGTGGGAAGCTTTCACAGATTCGTGAGCAGATTTGGTAGCGGCTGTCATGGAGCAATTATATGCCCGGCATTAGCACACCAATATTGACCAAAGCCCCATGTCCTCTTTGGGACAGGCCGTTACTCTGCTCGCCCAATGGGTAGATCCCTCTGGGACCGAAGCTTGGCGCAGAAATTTATGAGACTTCTCAGATTTCTGCTATGCTACACGCCCCTTTAATAGGGGATAGGACACCCATTTCGCTCGTTTAGGGCAGCTACTCTATCTGGCATTGTTGAGATAGCCCTATTAATCTCATCCAGAGTTATTTTATCCATATCGCGGAATTGGTGCTGTAATTTACTAAACCTACACCTCTTAGTCTCTAGTATGCGACCCCTTTTTGTCACGTGCCGGTTCCGTTAGCTCTACCTTGGCGCCGCTGCTTCTTAGATTAGCTCTTGCTGCTTATCAGCTTCCTCTTCTCCATGCACGTACGAATCAATGAAGTAACTTGATCCATTGCACTTTTGGTCAATGCGTACTATTGTCTATACTGACGGAATGACAGTGCTAACTGGATGACTGGCCTGACAAGTAACGACAAGCACATCATGAAATTCATCGATAAGAAACATTCGGAATATGTTGAGAAGATGAAGGCTGCAGCCCCTGGCTCCGACTTCAGGGTGCTCGTTCAGTTCCAACCTGTGACTCAATCGATGGTCAAGCACTCCGTCAAGAGTGGCGGCAACGTTCTCGGCCTCGAGGAAATTGTTGCTAAGGGTCCCACCATCATGTGGCTTATTGCCGTAACTGTCGATACTGCAGAGAACCAGGCCCTGACGATCGAATATAGAGATGCGGTCAATAAATACGCCAATAGCATAGGCGCGAACAAGAACTGGCTTTATCTCAACTACGCGCTGGGCGACCAGGATCCGATTGCCGGTTATGGGGCTGAAGTCGTAGAATTCCTGAAAGCTACATCTCACAAGTATGCCCCCAAGGGCGTCTTCCAGAAGCTGAGAGGCTCCGGCTTCAAGCTTCCTACTTAATGTTAGAGTTGCTAAGAGGTGCGGATATACCAGATGATTGTGAGAGGGCATCCCTCGTCAATCCAGTCCCTGCGGGGTATCGTATGGCTCACCGACGTGAAATGTGACGTTCATCATGTTTGATACTTATTTTACCTTCTGTCTACCAACCAAGCCTTAGGCACCTTTGGTGCTGCTCCATTCTAACAATAACTACTTAGCAGGAAGAGGCCCTCTAAAATAATGCTAGGAGAGCCATTAAAGTGCGCTTAAAATTAGCCTAAGCGTAAGAACCGCAATATCCACTTTGGCTGGTTTGCCAATATGACTACCAACTTTCAATTCCCACGGTCCTTTGTCATAATGCTTCCTCTAACCGTTGACTCTCTGTAAGACTCTCAGGAGGACTTCTTGCACAGTCGTCTTGTTCCTTGTCTCATAGTGCTTTGCATTCTTCTCGAACAATGTCCTTGCTCTTTCTCGGTCTGATCATTCCTTATTCCAAACAAAGCTCTCACATCTGCTGTCCTTGTCGAAGACCGGTTCTATGTTCAGACCGACAAAGGCATTGATTGTCTTTGGCCATTCTCTCCTATAAAAGGGCCATCAATACTCACCAACAACATTCGATGCATCAGAAGCAACTTTCCCCTCCTAACACTCAAAGCACGAAATTCGAACATCATACAACATTGCCATGTCTTCATCACCAGAACAAAAACCAGGCAATAATATGGCCACACCACGACAACGCAAAATGCTTCAGGGTAAGAAACCGGAGCTGTGGTTGACGACACCCAAAGGTGAGCAACGTGAACTGCTACTGACCACGCCCCAGGGCGAGCAAAGTGAGCTACCACGTAGGAAACAACAGTCAGAGCTAGATCTGTTCAACACCCTCCAGCTCCTCTGTTTTGTTTCCTTACTGACATGCGCTGTGAGCATTCCGCTCGTCTTCTTTTCTTTCGGTGGCTGGAACCATGCTCTCGCTGCTGGTCTTGCTCTGGCGATCGAAACGGGCATAATTATTCGCGTGTATGGCATATTGGCCGATCGATGGGCTTGATCGTAAGTTTATGTGTTATTCTTTGAGGGTTGTTGAGCGGAGTTGATGGAGTTGTACTCAGATAGCCTGGTAGCGATTCCTAAGTCATAGAATGCATTGCTTTTGACCTCTATAATTCATATTTTCGAGATCACGGTTCAAGCTTTCATCTTTCCCGTATCGGGCTTCATCATGTACCATTTCATGAACTGTTCAGTATGTGTTGCCCTACTCTCTTGCACGAGCAAGTACGCAGCGATTTGTAAAGCTGGTGAAGTGCACACCACTACCTAACACGCAGTGTTTCCATCAAATCAAATAAACCAAATCCAGGCCTCCATTTGGTTTGATTACGTAATCGAAATGCTCCGTTTGATTTGATTTGACTCATTTGTCAAACGAGTCAAATTATACGTAGATTTCCTATTTCGGCTTCTTGATCGACGAGGAGGAGGAGGAGGAGGAGGAGGAGGAGGAGGGAGGAGAACTGGCTAAGGAGGAGGATATATCTGTATTTTAGCTGTTAGCACTTGAATAGAGCTCACTGGCGTTACATACCGTCGTCTATACCTCAAATAACCTTGTTATTATACCAATTTCGGAGGCATTCAGACCATTCAACTGTATCTGGGCTCAGCCTATTGCGATTTGGCGTAATAAGTAGCTTCGCAGAGCTAAATACACGTTCGCATTCGGCGCTCATCGCAGGAATAGCAAGAATAGTGTACGCAAGAGTGGCCAAAAGAGGGAATGAGGGCTCTTGTTCTCTCCACCAAAAGATGAGATTTTGAGGCGTTGATTTGAGCGCAGGGAGCTGACAATAGGCCTTATATTCATCAGCAACCTCGAATTCATTGCCTGCTGCCTGGCCGCAAGCTAAAAAGCTCTTGAATGAGCCCTTTTTTGGAGATAGCTTCGGAGATATAGAAGAGGAGTTAGAAGGCAGTAACTGCTCCTCCTCAACTGCTTGCTCATGCCGTATCTTATACGTATTCCATAGCTCCTGCATCTTTTTCTTCGCCTCAGGGATCCAGTGTGTATTGCTCTTCCAGTGCCTATCGAAATATCTCCATTTATGAGCAGGGTTGAGGACGATAGCAGCAACGTAGTATGGAGAGAGATCGGTTATTTCGTAGTACTTCTTCATCTTGTTCCACGCGTTATTCGCTGAGAGGCCAATTCTATCTTCAATGCCTCTATTCTCCTTGAGCGTTTCGAGCGTTGTTAAGAGCCATTCGATCGCAGGGAGGCATTCCCACAAAAATCCATATTTGGCGCCACGGTTGTTACTCTGCAGAAAGTTCGTAGCTTCGTTAAACGGCTCAAGAGCGTCACAAAGCTGTTGAAGCGTTATCCAGTCGTCCTCTATGAGTTGAGCATGCTTTTGAATAGCTTCGTCTGCTATTTTGCCCTTGTGATCTCGTTTTGCTCGGCAGCTGTTGACGTACACTTGGATATGATTCTTGAGCTGTAGAGCGCGAACAAGCATATTGTACGTAGAATTCCACCGAGTTGTATTATTTTGAATAAGCATCAAATTCTGCTTATTTGGATCAGGATCTGCGCCTGTTATTCTGCGAAATGCTTGCCTGCGCTACGGGCTACTTCGAATTAACGAAATGAGGTTCTGAATATGGCCAATGATACCCTGGGAGACCCAGCTGCGTTGTAGATCTTCGATATCTGCGCTATCCTCGATAGCAGCATGCTCTCGCAGCCATTTCTCTGAATTCTGGCCAAATATGAAGTCCTGTGCAGCAAGATTGATAATATGACCTAAACAGCGTAGTCTGCAATGCTCTTCTTCGTGTGTAACGTGTAATTCGAGTTCATTGAGGATGTAGCGAACTGCTGTATCGTTATTGCCGGCGTTATCGAGAACAAACGCGCCAAGTTCGGATTCAGTCTGGAATTCGCGAATAACGTCAACAACTGTTTGACCAACATTCTCGCCTGAATGCTCTCCATAGACCTCACGAATACCAAGTAAGATAGCCCTAACTTGGTAATCATCGTCAACGAAGTGTGAGACGATTCCGACCAGTGCATAGCCATTAGGAGAGGTCCAAATATCGAAGGATATATAAATCTTTCCTCGACTCTTCCGAAGCATATTCTTTATCTTGTTTTGGCCCTTTCTAAACTCTTTTTCAATCCAATTTCGTAATGTACTACTGCTAGTAGGTAGATAGGGCAAGATCTCATTCGTAGCGCTTGAGGAGCAGAGGAATAGGCTTCAAAAATGCTCATTTGTGACCATATTGAAAGAGGCATGAGAGGTTGTAATCCACTTGATGAGTCGATCTTGAACAGATGTATTGATCACCGCAGGCAGATTTTGAAGCTGCTGAATCTCTGCGAATTGACGTTGTTGATCAATAACAGATAGAGATATTGAAGAGGGAGATTCAGTGTTTAATTTGATCCTATGCTTTCTTCGTAAATGATCCATGGCGTTGGTTGTAGCAGTAGCAACAAATCGCTCTTGACAGATGTTACATTCCCAGAAGCGCCGTGCATCAGATCCGTTTTCCAACACCACCTCTTTTCCATAATTTCATACGGGCGAAGTTCGCGGTCGTTTGGATTCTCGTTCGAGAGTAACGTAGTTTCGAGTTCGTTTTTGAGGATTCCGAGCTTGGATAGCTGAAAAAGCGTTTGTAGGGGTTGGAGTAAGGCTTTGTTCTGCGGAGATAGAGGATCCTAGTCCGAGGGACTCAAGATCAGAGGGAGCTTCTGAAAATGGGCTTAATGACAATCGTGAAGGTCTATCCATATTATTAGAGATAGAATAAGAGATGCTGAATACAGCTAGCTAGGTCTGAATACGTAGAAATGCTGCGTTGTGGAATAATTTGCGTTCAAAGTTTATGCAAGGTCTTTGATATAGGATCTATAATTTGCGGAGAACAATTGAATATTTTTATTTCTTGTACACATACTACCGAAATAGGCAATAAGCTCAACACCAACATTAAATATGAAGATAGCAGCAACAGTTACATCGATTTCTCTACCAATTACTGGCCAACTCGGCTCAGAATTGGCCCAATTGTCTTCTTTACATACAATTTGACTCATTTGACAAATCTACAGATGCCCATTTGATTTGATGAGACCACAGATTTGATTTATTTGCCAAGCATTTGATTTGGTTTATTTGACTCAATTTGATTCAAATGGATACACTGCTAACACGTCTGACATTTTGCTGCTTCAAGCCTCTCCTCCAATGGTGCTTGCCACAACAAATGCAACCCAGATCCGAATACTGTACGAGCACTGTGATTTCAAGTATATCAAGCAGGAGATCTTCCAAGTACCAAAGGCTTCCGACTGAGCCCTCTCTCCTCCCAGATCTGTTCTCCGCATGACTGTATGTACGCCTACATCTCTGTGGGTAGGTAATGATCGTTCTGATCTTCGTCCTCTGCTCAAGTCTTTCATGCATGACTGTGGCAGACACAATGCCTTGATCGTTGCTGGCACAAAGCCTTTGTCTACTTCTCGCACCGCTTTCTTTGTGCCAATCACTGATAGGATTTCAACTCAAATTTCAGCGTTTTCTGAGGCACATCTTTGTGTCCCAGGTGGGTGGTTACTGGTAGCACAATACCTTCCTTCATTATCTTGTGGTGCTCTCTTTAGTTTGATCTCTTCAACAGTGATCTCATCCTTTGCTGCCACCTTCACGGGTCAAGTATGCTTGTGCAGATGTCTTCAGAGCTAGAACCGATGAACAATGGATTGTATCCTTTGGACTGTGACATTGTACTTCCTTTCTTCTCAATCTTTACCTTTGTCCACCCTTACCCGTCTGCCGCTCTTCCTTCAGGTATATAAACCCCCCAACAGCCGTCTCCCACCTACAATCTCCAGATCCGACATCTTCTGCAACACACACAACATCCAACAGTCCAAAGCCTCAAAAAAGCATCAACATTTCCCAGAACCACCCCAAAACACTTACACCACCACCACACAACATGGGCAAGTCAAGCACCAAAGGCAACGGCGAGAACAAAGCCGTCAAGGCACTCCTCGACCGACCCGTCCAAATCAAGAAGACCAGCAAGGCCGAGGCGAAGCCCAAAGAGGAGGAAAAGCCCTACACGGGCCCACAGACCCGAAGCCGAACCAAAGCCGCACTCGAGGCAGAACTCGAACAGAAGTAAGAGAACGGCCGCATTCCAGGAGCCTTCCCTGCCCACTTCACATGCGAAGGGGGTAGCAACTCGGACGACCCATGGCGGTGAATCGGATGAGCTTGTGCCATGGGCGTAGATGGTAGGTAAGTCGTTCCTGTCCTGTCCTTTGAAATTTCCTTTGTCTTTTCCGTCTCTGTCCTGTTGGGACTTGCTCTCAATGAGCCAAGGCGAGGGGCGTGTGTGGCGCTGGTTGCGGTGCCACTCAACGCTCTGATAGGCATTCACTCTTTCAGTCGATCGACCGATCGAGCGAGCAAGTCGGTCATTCAGCTAGATAAGCAATTAGAACATCCCTTTTGATAAATTCTCCCTTTCATTGAAAACCTTGCTACTTGTGCTTTCCATGTCTGAATAGTTGTGCGCCCCCCCCCTAAATGTGTGCGCTCAAATCTCTACTTCCCTCCTCCTCCTCCTCCTCGTCCTCCTCTCGAGTCTTCTTTCTCCTCCCCATCTCATATCAGTAACTCCCAAACCGCAATAAACAACTCATAATAAGAACACATCTCCACTCATTCCACGAACAGGCTTTTCTTGGGCCACATAGTGGAGTGGGCATATGCCCACCACCGCAGCAGGACATAAATAATGTCTTGTATGTCTTGTTAGCCCAACCTAATTAATACTCACCCAGCCCTCCGTGAACGCAGCACAGAACATAGAATGAGCATATGATCTGACTCTCTATCTCCCTAACTTAGCTTCAGTTACATACCGCTGTAATTTAGTCGCTGCTCTCTTTCAGACGTGTGCTCTTCCGATCTCTCCCTCCCTCTCCCTCCCTCCCTCTCCCTACCATGTGCCATTCACCCCATCTCCCTTTCGAGACCTAGCTAGCTAGCCAGCCGTTTCCAATGGATCCCAACCGCAGCACGATATACCTACCTCTCCATATACAGCTACATGCCTCTCGTTTCCCCTCAGCGAAATATCTGCACCACAGCACACCATAAGTAAAGAGGCGGAACCGATCAGAGATGCGATCACAGACGAGTAGTCAGTCAGACAGACAGACAGTCCAACGGATGAAGATAGATAGACAGCTACTCTGCGTGCTCGATAGCTAATGTAATGTCAGATATATACTAGCATTGAGGAGGTACTTCTCAATACAGCAGCAGCAGCGGGGCGGTCCGTCTCCTTTTCCACAGACCGCACATCGCACAGAAAATAAAGACAGAAAGTAGAGACATAGATAAAATAATAGCTCGGCGATAGATGCCAAATAAAGGTTCAATCCCATGGAAACAGAACACGTAGACGCCACTGTAGATTGATCGGTTGATATACCACGCAAGCTCTTGATAGGGGAACTCCGACGCTCTGCCAGAAAAAAAAAGAAGAGATCCAACGCCATTCGGTACGCGCGAGAGGGTATGAAAACCATTTTGAAGTGCAGTTAGATAGATTTATGCGTGGCGAGCAATTTTCTCACCCATCGCCTGCAGATAGTTGGACGGAAAGATGCCCACTCGATCTCCGATCCTGCCGGTCCACCAATCTTCTTTATTATCGGTCCTCTTGGTAATGGTAATGATGTCGCCCTTCTTGAAGCCCAAATCGCCCTCCTGATCCGGGTCGAAGGTAAACAGCGCCCTCGCTTGTGATCCTTGCCCAGCGACCCCGTCCGCTGCTTGAACACCGGTTTCGGGGCTGTCGGTCGCGTGGGTTTCTGGTCGCTGTAGCTGTATTCTCTCGCTCCTACACCGACAGCTGAGGAGGAGAAGGTGCTGGAGCGGCTGTTGCGGTTCATGTTTATCCTGTCGAATGTTTCGGAGGGGTTTGCGCGCGAGGGCATGGAGGAGCGGTTTCCGGGGGTGCGGTCGTAGACGTCGTCGGCCCAGGTGCTGGATCTTTTCGGGGGTGCGGACGCAGGGACGTCTCGGTACTCGTAGTCGTCGTCGCGGGAGC